CCTGTTTCGTTGGCTGTCACGTTTGATAGTATTGAGAGCCACATTTCGCCTTGCACAGCGCATTCGGCGAAATGGCTTCAACGGGAAGATTGAAATAAAGAATAAACTTCGGGGTTATGGATAACCAGCTAGCTTGATTAGGCGCTAACTGCCAAAGGTGTTCTTACCGGTGAATGGAAGAAAAGGAAGGAAAGGCCTTCAGTGGGGAATTGTTTATTAGAGAAACACCAACTGAACATTTACAGACTGGGGAGCAAAACTCTCATATGCATCTTGTTTACAAAAACTGAATATCCATCTTCTCCTTGAACGTGTCTTCCTGAACTTTCCTGGATATTCATTGACTGTTAGTCAAATGCGAGCAAATGCTACAAAGCGACTCCACAAATTCCGTAATAGATCTCACTTTTCAAGGGACTTGAAGCGGACTTACAAGAAGACAGTACTCATATGCCCCACCAGTAGTATCCACCGCTACACGGTAGCAAAATCCAACAGGGAATGGATCGGGACCCCGGTTATTCCATATAAACGAGGCACATCTGAGGTCGTTCGAAAAATTCGAAACACGGCTAACATAAGACTAGCTCTACAGAGGAGGAACACTCTGCGCTCTGCAGTGGTGCAATTGAAGAGTCACCTACCTGCAAACAGAACCAGGGAGTGTGTCTACAAAATTAAGTGTAGCTACTGCAATAAGGTCTATATAGGACAGACGGAGAGACGGACAGAATCGGAGAGCATAGCAGAAGAATAAACCGTCCGCCAAGAAACATGGATGAATACCAAGCGTTACTGAAAGACTCGGTAATTGCGGAACACGCACTGGACACGGAACGCAGAACATATTTAAAAAATTTGAGAAATACACTCATTTGCGAATCAATCTGGTTTTCACGAAAGACTCAACTGAATCTCTCGCTTATGATATTCTACAACTGAATGTGCTGCACACAGTCCGCCTCATGTTTCAGTTGGCACGATATTCGAGATATCGCTTTATATTTTCATGAAGGAAACTACTAACAAGGTTGCTGAAAACTCATCGACAGCCGGTAACCGGTTTCGCCCTTCTTGGGGTTCACCAAGTAGGCGCCGTCCCCGAGTTTCCGTAAACCTTGTGTTCTACTTGAACCCGAATTGGACTGTTTTAAAGAACGACACTCATTTGCAAATTAATTTGGTTTTCACGAGAGACTCGCCTGAATCTCTCGTTTATGAAAAGTTTTCAGCAACCTTGTGAGTAGTTTCCTTTATAAAAGCATATTCAGTAAATGTTGAGGTTTTGAGGTTAGAAATCGCCAAGCATCCCAATGTTCACAGAATACAAAGCGTGGAACTGGCAAGCGTGTAGAGAACGGTCTTAGGTCAATCGAGCTAACACTATCAGGAAGAGGAGTGGTCATCACCTGTATTCCACTTAACCTTACCTTACCCAACACCCTCCCCCCCCAACTAAATTGTCGCAGCACTCAATCTAACAAAGACCAACGAAATCTATCGGCGGCAACCGCGGTGAATCATCAATTGAAGCACCCTGAAGTGAAAGATTAACGAACAAGAGCCGACCGCAACTAATTTGAAACTCCTCCAACCCATCAAATCAAGATTTTAGCAACCGCACTGACCGACAAGAGCAGTTAAATGACAATCAACACTGATCTGGTGTGGTAGTATGAAGAGGACTTACTGACTGGTTCCGATCTACTTTACAACCTGGCCAATTTGGTGACCTGCTCACTTGGCCCGACGAAGATTTTATGTTAAAAGCAAAACGTCGCCCAAATAAGGACTACGGACTGTTTACAAAGCGCTTCTGAAACGAAAAAGGAAGATCAGTGGTTGGAACCTAACCTCGGCATCTCGACTGTTCCTGTCTGGGCTTGAACAATCCGACAGACCTCGTGCCTTCTCCGAGTGTCAAGGCAACTAGACTCCAAAAGGGCTCCACAGCTAACTATCCATTCACTCTCGTTCATGCAACGCATTAGTTTGTTATCTTACCATAAGTGGAATGGCGACAAAGGATCCGGTTGGGACAATCGATTAGGACACACATGGGGCCGGTTTGACACAAACCGAAGACCGTACCATAAAAGTACGCGCTGTCTGGGTCGGTAAGGCTGCAGGTGGCTTCACTCAGTAGTTCAGACAGATATAAGCACATTCATTGACAGATGATATGCACGACCGGTGAGATCAGAAGTGATCTTGGTCTAAAGCTTGACGAAAAGCAATCAACCGACCAGAAATTCCAGCTCACAAACCAATCTATTTCGTGGAAACTCAGAAAGATAAGACAACGCTGGAGATTTGATCTGTTCGGTCTTGGGGGATAATTTCCAGACAAAGCCGGTCATGCTGTGTACGGGTGTGCTAATCCTCTGCGCTTCCGAAGGTAAACAGTGTTATGACGGTTACTTGATTGAACGAAACTCAATACGCCGAGTATGACGTGCGTGGACATTCGAAAAGGATAGAAAGGATTTCGACAACTGCACTTATTTGCACATGAATTTGGTTTTCATGGGAAACTCAGTTGAAGAATGCCATAAACGAGCGGTTCAGTTGAGTCTCCCATGAAAACGAAATTGATTCGCAAATGAGCGTATTTGTCGAAATCAGTCCAATTTGGGTTCAAGTCGAACATAATGTTGACGGAAACTCGGAGACTGTGTCCACCCGATGAGACCGAATTGTGAGGTCAAAACCGGTTGGGAGGTGTCAAGAGTTTCCAGCAGCTTTTTGAAAGGAAAAGATTCATGTTCCCACCATTCAGTTGGTAAAAACAGGCTAAATTGCTCACAGGAGTTTCAGTCAAAAGTATCCGGGAAATGAAATGCTCTGGGAAATAGCGTTCCGGTATATATTATCCTGGGGTACAGTATTTTGAGATATGTTGCCCTGAGATACACTATACAGGACATTTGACATTCAGTTCACTCTTGTTTCACATGGTCCTGTTCCTGTCCTGGCGCAGGTGTTCCCGTGAATCCACCTCAAAGTGGAGGAGCACTGGACCCGAGTTTCGTTCCTACCGGGACTCAGCATATCCTTAGTTGTGCTTGGATCTGATGTCCAGACACCCGATGTGTGACCGATTGTGTACTGGAAGCATACAAACAATCGCGTCTAAACAGGCAAACGTATTCACACATTACTGCTGTGATCGGTTTACCCGACGTCTCGAAGCCCGACTCAATAAATGCCTCGGTTAAGCTAATCGACTGGGTCAACTGTCGAGGCTTCCAAGATAGGTGGAGCCGCGGATGCTTGAATTCTGTTGGACGATCCCTAGTTGATTGTATATAATTCATATTCACATTACTGTCTGAACATATGATGTCCGGGAGTCACGGAATCCTTTAGATTGTGGCACATCATACCTCAGGATGCACTACTCAGGAGTAGGGTGACATGGAATTGGGTAAGGTAACTTGTGGTGTGTGTCACAGTGTTCTTTCAACGACTCCCTCAGGTTGGAGGTCTTTCAGCGACGATCATACAGGTTGCATCCCACGAGATGGACACACACACCTCAGTGTCGAGTGACGGCTCAAAGGCCCCGCAAGGCAATTTGGTCATTGATTTGGCGTAAGAGAAGCATAGACTGCCATGAGTTAACCTCGATGCCCCGACCCATAAGCTAGCAATGGTTCAGATTCACTGGACCCATAGATGTCACGAGCACTATGCACCCGTGTTTGCAGAGGTGATCACGTGGCATAAACCGCCAAATATCATCGTCGTTGTACAGCATCACCGCTAATCGGTTCCAACAAAGAGTACCATATTAAGTACATCGCATGAAGTCAACATAAACAAACCTTCAAAGAGATTCTGTTCATCACTTTCTTATAACACATCACTTGGACTGTCTTGTCGTCTCGTTAGAACGATGTTGGACACTAACTACGATGCCTCATAGTGCAAATAACTGGGTCATATCGGCATTCCCTCACTTAGAAGGAAAATATTTCTTCTCTAGGGGATGCATTCTTATGGTTTTGAAGTGGATGCTGATAAAAAAATCGTTCAGTTGTAACACCCCTCCAGCGCCTAGCTGCTATGCTACCCGAAGGAAGCACGAGGGCTGGAATATTGTCAGGTTGCCCAAGCCTAGACAGGGGAATTCGAGGGGAAGTCGAGAGGCAGAGGCAGAGGTCGAGTTCGAACCATGGACCTTCCGGTCAAAAAATTTGCGCTCTATTCACTTGAGCCATCTCGCCCCAGTGGACGCTGAGGGAAGGGAAGTTTCAGCGTTTAATCTATTGGTTTTCAACTACTGAAGAGTAGACTCCATATAGACTCCACAGATTTCTCTCTTATCCCAGCCGCACAACAGACAGCCCCTAAACAGGTTAAACAAAGTCATTGAGGAATCCTCATTCGGTGAGTTTCCGTGAAGGATTCCCGAAATCTGTCATTCAAATGAACCGCTTGAAAGGTTTCTAATCCCAACTAGCTCTTGGATGGTCTCCACTGGCCGTAATTCCAAGAAACCGAAATGATCCCTACTAAGTGTAATTTCAAAGGGTCTTCTAGCTAGTTGGAGCGACAATACGTGACACAATCAAACAGTGGTTTCAAAAAAAACTCGATAACCTACAGGTACTTAGTACTGAGATATTGATTTTGTTTGATGTGATTTCTCAAGGTCAATCACCCTTGACCCGGTTACCCTAGTTATGCACACGTAACAACTTCAATTTCCTCCAATGGGAAGTGAAAACATAGGAATTGGGAATCTCCGGGGATATCAAGTTACATTCCCATTGAAGCCTGCCCGTGGAGACTCATTAGGAGTAACCTTCCTTTGAAGGTATCTTCAGAGGTATGCTCTGTAGCTAAGTAAATCGGGAGAATTATTAGAATAGTTTGAGCACTGGTATTGTACGTCGCTGTACCATTTTTTCGCTCCAACTACGAGGGGGAGTCTTGATACAGACAAGAAAGAACATGTTCTCAACTACAGTGTGTCTCTTTTAATAATCTTTCAGTCGCTTACGACCTTCTCAAAGCCGTCACAATAGACTCGGCCGCTCCCACGGATGTTACACGTCAGCCAGGATTCTGTCCGCCGGCAGATGGTAACCAGAACACAGCCTACTCCTACCACAGAGGAGGTCAGCTCCACATTGAAGCGGACAGAGTTTTTCCAGGTGGGTCCTTAAAATGTGAAACATTTTCGTTTTCGTGCAGAATTTGATTCCACTGCTGTGACTGATACACACATGATACCGAGCGTCATCCTAGCTACTGGAAAAGGAATCAGTAGTACATAGTAGTCCTAGATGACCTAAAAAGTGAATACAATCACTCCCTAGGAGGGCACATGCAATATGCTTAGTGGGGACGGCTCCGTAATCCCAAGTTACGCGCAAAAAGTTGCTCTTCCACTGGAAGACGTTTGTGATGGTGGAAGATTCTAGTCGGTGTAGAGGTCGCACCACAGTTGAAATAGGATGCAAGTTTGAGTGGTAAGTTTGCAAGACTTGTTCTTGAAGTTTGGGAAAAACAGCTTTTCACGATCCGAACTAATTTTTAGGAATAAAAAGGTAGTAGGTAATGTACATTGCTGTTGTGTGGATTTCGACGGAAAGTCACTAGTATGATACACATGACTTGAGAGAGTCAGTCACGTGACTTTCAACTTAGCCGTGAGAGCGACGTGAGGTTTACTCCGCTTACCTCATGCAGGTGGATAGGCATTTTTATGAGACTGCGTATATCAAGTTGCGTTTCATACTACTTACGATGGCCCCCAACTATTTCAGCCACATTTCCCAGAGATTTTTCAATTCTGGCCACTGTCCGACTCAAGACTGCCACAGAAGGCGAGTTGTTCGAATTGGTTGATCCGGAAGGAAAAAGGCGACTGGCTGTGACCTTGGGACCTACAATCACTCTGGATTACTATGGCGAGGGACAAATGCGAAAGGTCCGATTCATGCAGTCTCTCGTACCATACAGGTACGTGCGGACTGGAAGGTTTCAACTTTTGAGCAATGTCTGTCACGTTTAAATTGTGTCCACACGAATTTTTTATATACAGTGGCTGTTGGAGTTATGTTTGAGGTCTGAAGTACAAACCCACTGAAAACGGCCGATCACGTCTACCTTGAAGGTAGTCTTACTGCTGATTGGATGGAAGCCTGACCCTTTCCGAGGAATTTCTCCGAATCGGTATCTAGGTCACAGGTGATTTACGCCGAAATATCACCAAACGCCACATAATACGCACATTTGCTCACACTTACACGTGACCATCTGCGTCACCTCATTCAAGATCTGCCTATCATAACTGAAAGTCTAGGGAGCTTTGGGAAATCAGGAGCATTACAGATCTGTGCGATTTCTAAGCGTTTTTTAACTTGATCCTATACAAACGTCTTTTTCACTGGAGAAACTAAAATACGTCCGATATTTTTACTCAGGGATCCATATACTTTGAGACTCTGAGATTCTCTAGGTAGACCACGCGTTTTCATTGACCATTACCTGTGAATGTGAGTTGTAATCAATCAACCGTTTGTCCAGTAATTTCCGTCCTAGTCAGAGTGGGCCTAGATACTATCGTAGCGTGGGTACTACTGACGGGGCATGCGAGTAGTATGTTTCTTCGTGAATCCACTTCGCGTCTCTTTATTACGGAATTTGTGGAGTCACATTTGCTTGCATTTGAGCAACAGTCAATGAATATCCAGGAAACTTCAGGAATGCGTCTTCAAGAAGAAGATGGATATTCAGTTTTTGTAAACGGGATGCATATGAGAGTCATGCTTCCCTGTCCAATAGTCTGCAACTGTTCAGTTGGCGTTTTCTAATAAACAACTCCGCGGCGAAGGCCTTCTTCCTTTCAGTATGACAAACCACTTGTGTCGAGCAGATAGAGACAAACAACCTGATATTGCCAGTCATCCTGTCGACCGGATGCGTATCAATGCCTGTTGGTTTTCTGATTAGCCACTGCTGTCACTGATTCCTTCGATTGTGACCCACAGAAACTCTTCCGAGAGCTAATGACGACTGTTGTTGGCGCGTTCTATTTGGATTCGCTAGTTTACTCTGCATAAGGAAGGTCAGAGTCCTGAAAGCAACCAACCACTGAACTCCCGAAATCTACTGAGACTCAGCTCCGCTAGATGTTGAGCAGGCAGACAACGGCCCCTTAATAGGCAGCACTCCAGACTTGTATCAAACCCAGACAGCGCGAGTCAGCGTTTATCAAGGTCGGACAACGACCCCGCAATATGCTGCGCGTCGCAGCCCCGTACCACGACCGGACCGCGTGCGTCAGCACTGGACCAAGTTCAGACAGTGTCTCTCCAATGACTAGCTTGAGACCGTTGTATTCTCACACTCGCACGCACTCACGTTCTCGCACTCGTTTGTTCGGAACACGGCCGTTGTGTTCTCTCCTGTGAGTCTTTTTCCGGCATTAGGCACTGGAGCGGGTCAGCAGTCAGATACAATCGATTGGCGAATCAGCAGGCATAACAATCTGATACCGTAAATTCTTTACAGCGGCACTAAAATGTCCTTCCGACTGAGGTATATTACCTCCTGAAAAGTGAACTCGTGTGAATAGTCCCCATGTCCTATGCGGTTTCTCGGCGTAAACTCTGGTGCTTTTGTCAGGGTACTGCAGGTTATTCGACCGGTCTGCAGGTCAATAATTCCTGTGACCCTGTTCACAAGGAGGTAATTTTGTTTGGAGGGTGTCAGAAACTTGACTGATTTCAGCTGCTTGTGTGATGCTTAGCTTATACCTACGGACTGCTTCTAGTGCTCACAATGTGTGTGGAAGCTAGATGCCAGTGACACCATGCCCAACCATCGGTCAAGCAATCGGGGCAAAGTTAGCCCAACCGGCTTTGTCTCAGGATAGTATAACGACAGTGGTAGAGAAGCTAACGGGAGAAAATGAACTAGGGACAAAGCCCCACCATCTTATCGGTTTTAGCGACCATATCTGAACTAAAAAGTGCCTCCTGTTTGCATGAGAGGAACTACTCACACGGTTGCTGAAAATTCTTTGACTGCCCATGACCGATTTGTCCTTCTGAGTTGAGTTTTCCGTGAAAGACAGACTGACTGCAAATGAGTGTACTTGCTTCCGTACGATACCCCTCGGAGAGGCATTTTTCGGCGAGTAACCACTCGCGGAGTCGTGCTGAAGCAAATGAATAGGGCTCAGATAACCTGCTTGCATTCTGAGTGGAAAAGACCATGTGTTGTGATGTTCTCGACTGCCGGACGACTGGCGTTATATACTGTCCAATCACAATGCTAACCCTCCGATCGCGGTCGAACGCTTAAGCGTTCATACTACTAACTGGGAGGTCGCGGGTTCGACACTCGCTGAAGTTTCGTGAGATGCGCACTGCTGACGATTCCCGATAAGGATGAAACATATGTGCAATGCTTTTTGGTATTGATTGGCTTCTGTTCCAGGACGAAACCTCCATCAGGAGATGTAGAAAGACACAAAAGACCTCTGCCGTCAATTCTAGACCATAGATGTGAATGATAAATACTGGGTTCGAATTCGAATAGCATGAAATAAGGGTAATTTTGCTAGCCAAAGTGTATTCACTAGGGTATTTTTTGAATCGGCCAAATATTCTCCCAAAATAGTAGCTGTTGTTGCACAAACGCAAAGAAAGTGAATAAAGTATGAAATCGACGAAAGTGTAGATGAAATTTTCCAAAAGATAGGGCAGTCAGTATTCTGGTAAGCAACACTGTTGACCGAAAATGAGTGAGTGAAGCTCACCTGAATGGATTTTCAGAAGACGCAATCAGCACCTTGTGGATACTGCGTTCCAAGTGCGGAACCAGAAGTGCCAGTGGATTTTTCATGATAATTTGGAATTTTTCGGGAGATTTTACTTCTCTGATTCGCTCGATGTTTTCAACAAACGATCAACAAAGTTTCTCAAATAGCGAGCCTCGTTCAACTACTCCGAGGGATTCACAATGAATCATTGGATGCCAGGCATGACTTGCTCACATACGCCACCGTACGGTTCCGTACGGTTCGCCCCTGTATCTTAAGTGGGCTGATTATGGCCAATTTCTTCTGTGTTCCAACAATTTACTGATCCTCCGTATGGGACTCTTTTCATAGATCAAGAAACACTACACCAAACCGTCCACTCGAATGAAGGATTTCTTAAAAAGGCGCCTTTGATTTGCTTCATCCGAAAAATATTGTCAAACACCACATGAAAGACAGGTCTTCAATGGGGACCAGTTTCCTGTCAGACATGCCACTCTGGGAGAACTAGATGGCTGATAGAACAGGTTGTAGTACATCATCCGATCGTGCTAGAATCTCCATGAGGGGGCGAGAAGCGTCAAGTCAAAGATGCTCGATCCGGATTGGCTGGCATTCTGACCAATCAAGGCGTGCATTCGTTTGGCCCGTGTCCTGCGCGTGACACATCCGTCCAAATGATGTGATGTTCGGTTATTAGGGGCGGCTGGCCTCCGTACAGGGTGTGCGCGAATCCCCCAAAGGTAGAATAGCTAAACGGCACGTATTATCCACAGCGGCAACAATAGCAATCGGTTTGAAGAACCCTGTGTTCTGCTTTCAAAAGGGGAACCTGCACAAACTGGGCTGGGCCTGGTCCCGAACGGGCAGTCCAAAAGTACCGTAGTGCTCAATTAGTCCTTTCAGCTCTCTTGATAGATATTTTGTTTATTGTTTTTTTGTCCAAACAGAGCCGTTGCTAAATCAATTCATATGAACATCACAGACCACTATATATCCTGAAGTTTTCAGGATGTCCCCATCCGAGCTTGTTTTCCTTAGTACCAGTCAATTTCGCTCACACATGACAACTGTTCTTACCCTACCCCCATCCCCGGAAATCATCCTGCGTGTATTTCATCCATCAATGCCACAAGTTACCTCAACTGGCATACATTTGAGATAGTTGCTTTATTGCGAACAGACTAGTCAACTAATGCTTCCTGGTTAACCAATAAATTCTTTGTCAGCCCACTACAAGTCTGCTGGGACTCAACTGACTACTTAGTTGATGAGTTAGATGCTGAAAAATGTGAGTACAAACTAGTTACCGTGTTCCTTTGGACTGTTCCAGGTCAAACCAATCCATAGCACCATCTCACAAACCGTTGGTAATGTGAATAAAACAGTAGTTGTAACAAGCTACTTTGTAGTGATAGTTTCTACTGATTTCATTAGTAAGTAGTGTAGTCTGCTCCACTAAGCTTCTGCCATATATTCCGCTTATCATACGTCATAACAACCTAGGGTGTTGGTCGTTGGTTTGTTCGCTGAGCGGGGCAATTTGATGGCACACGTTAGATCACCAGTCGAGGTGACGTCATCAGTGCGTTATTGGGGAGCGTAGTTGTGCGTAGCGGTGGGTTACTAGTTGTGCTGAGAACCCTATCACATCCTATCAGTTGATCTTTTCACCTCGCTATGCAGATGGTACCGGATCTCACTTAGCATCAAGGGAGACGCAGTCACACTGTTGGTTAACTGCCGCGTTGTTCAGTCTCAGATGCTGGTCAGGAGCCCTTCGGACCCGACAGGTCTTGAGAGTGGGACGCTATATGTGATGCAGCATAAGGATGGAAAGGCAAGCTTCACGGTAAGTACTCAAATAACTGCGTTATGGCTGGGTAATCCAGGATTGCTTTCATTGGGTAATATGACACATTTTGGCTCCAGCTAACGGATTGTTTGCCTAGAGCCCGGTGGTGCTCGGCGGAGAACCACCAACTTTTATTCTACCATCTGATTCCTCAAAAAGCAAGTCCACGGCGTTCGTCATTGGATTACTGGAGTTATCTAAAGAATGCGTACGACCATAGGCTGAAACTGGCTCCTAGCAAGCATGACAGAAAAGGATGAGTCTTTCTTATTCTGTACGCCAGTACATGTCACCGTTAACCTCTTGAACACAGAGCCCTTCTGCAACTAGCTGCTAAAACGCGCACGTTAGACATCGTTCCCGGTTGTAGTTTCCTTCGTTTCGAATTTCAGCACGTTCCGCCCTCTAATTTATGTAGTGATCATACGCAAAGTCCTTCATCAAGATGCTTGACTGAGTATAGTGGAGTTTCCGAACCACCGAAAGTCTAAGTGCACGCAGCCAGCATCCCCGTCGCCACTTAACATTTCTCATTTTATCATTTCAGGGTGTTGTCGACCGACTCCTGATTATCCCCACTCCAGAAGGCGCCTACAATCACTGCACCACCTTTTCTCCATGCGAAAAATCCAACTCGTTTTACGATTCCATGCAAGCTGAAGAAGTCGTAAGTTGCAATACCGCTGTTGTTTATGCATTATGCCACTGCAAGTAGGAAACAGATAAGCCACACGATGTTATAGAGACAGAAACTTTGGTCTGGTTCAAAAGGGCTGTTGTGAAAAGGTCGCATGATGCGATTTTTTCCAATCTGTATCAGTGTTGTTTGTGGTTGAACCTCACCTCTTCAATGCGATCTTCTTACTGGTATTACTTACGTTCCCCGTACACTGCCATCCCAGGTTGGCGCATGCATGCGGGCCAAGACCCGTTTCTGACGTTATTTTTTTAGATAAAAGACTTGTAACTATCCAATCCTTACAGGCCACTCAATAATCTTTGTGAAAGCCTATTACTTGTTGCGTGGGATCTCCTAGCCGACATGATACTTACTCATAAAGTTGCTGAAAAAACTTTGACAGCCCAAGGGGCTCAACAGGTAGGCGCAGTTCCCGTGAACCTTTCGTTCTACTTGAACCAAAAAATCCATGGACTGGATATACGTAAATGTGGCAACCGTTGAGACTAGTTCCCGGGTATATCTTCCGTTGCGTACAATTTCGAAAGATTGAGGTTTGAACCCGTGATCCTGGAAACAGCTGCACATCAGTACTGAATTTGCATGTCCTCGTTTGGGGGACAACCTTAGCGAATGAACTACCAGGCATCTGCTGAGTAGATGTACTGGAGATGTTGTTTGACGTGAAAGCTAGATTTGCGTTTGATGAACCATTCCGGCAAAATCTTTGAATCTGGCTGCTGCCTGCCACAACCTAGCGATGTTAGTTTCGCCATATTTCTTTTCAGTACTGTCAACCTAAACGAACTTTTCAAACCTTACCACAGACAACTTTGGATTTTAGAGAACAAAACAAACGACCTGATTGTTTCTCTTTTGAAGAGTTCACCTTGTCCTGAAGCAGATAGTCCGGTCACTTCACATCAAACAGAGGACAAACTGCATGCGAGTTTCCTTCTCATTGGAGATCATCACCAGTGCGCACGGTTAGTTGCCTCAGGATTTGACATTTAGGCCTTCGCCAGCTTCGAGCAGCTTACTCTAGACAAGCGTGAATTGTCACGCCCGAACATGGCGAACGTGTTCGCATTTTCAACGATGTAGTTAGTTTACGCGACTGCTCAGATGACCACCATGCGACTGTCGATGATGCTGAGTCTGCTGGCGACGGTGATGGTGATGACAATGAACTACCTTCGTTCCGTCGATCAACTGTGTCGCATTCCCAGCCAAGTTGCACCTTGAAACCGAGTGGGCAATTTTTACGTCACATCTCCCATGCACTGAATTCAACTTCTTAGATAATGACGCATACGTACTCCTGAGAAACCCTAACAGGATCAACAAGTGTGTCCAGTTCTTACCTGTTGGATGTTGATTTATCCAAATTCTCTAATCAGGATGTGACTTTTCCTGAAACAAAGCTGTTTCGAGAGCCACAAATTCGGAGACCACCCGCAAGTAACCATAAGGTACACTTCGTTGAAACACTCATCACGGCATTTTACTCGTTCGTTCTCCTCCCTGAACAATATGATTACTTACAGGAAGTGGGTGGTAAATTGCCACAGATTTACTGTTGTTTATCAGGCCTCTTGAGAACGATGAATTTGTGAGCTGTTCCAAACATATCCCTGGAGGTTCCCTGCCTTGCAGTACAAGGTGTCTCATAATAAACGCAAAATGTAATACCCATATTAACACTTTGAAATTAATTTAAACGTTTATTATTTTTTATGTGGACATATGCACATCATGAAGGTTTACTACAAACAAACAAACATTACCAAAAATTTTGAAAAAAACCGCTTCTTTCTTCTATAACTAGTTGGAAGCGGTGTGAGATGTGAGACACAGCATGTTTAACTTCTTCAAGCGTCACTCGTGCACACTCCTCTTCAATTCCTGCTCTTAATTCCACGAAATTCTTCGGTTTATTTCCATGATATACGCGAGCGTTGATCATTCCACAAAACCAATAATCCAGAGGTTTGAAATCGGGTGACCTTGTGGGCCAAAAGTTTGAAAATCCACGAGCAATGACTCTCATAAGAATTTGCTCTCGGAGGTAAGCTCTCATTTGGTTCGAGTAGTGAGGTGGAGCGCCATCTCGTTGAAACACGGTCGATGACTTCTTGTGCTGCTTGAATTGTGGGATAACATGCGTCTGCAGCATATGGAGTTAACTGTCGCCGGAAACCGTAGCATCAAAGAAAAAGAGACGCAGGAGACACTTTGAGGAGAATCCGATCCACACACAGGAATGAGGGGAATGGAGATTATGCGTGAAGAGCTTGCGGAACTATATCACGCAATTGTACTTGTTGATTATGCCATCCACAGAAAAATTTGCTTCATCGTCCAGCAGTCTATTAGCGAAAGCGACACGTTGCTCCTTGTCTTCTTCCGTGATGTTTTGTAATAAAGTGAAATGATTCGGGTAGAGATGAAGGTGGCGTCTCATAATACGATGCACGCTTGCGCGGGAAATGCCGGTCAACTGAGACACCTGAGTTATTGATGAAAATGCCATGGTGCTCTGGGACTGAAGTTGCTCGACGGCGTTCTGTAAAATGGGCGCTCTTTCATCACTCAGAGACATTTGCCCTTTGCCAGAAAAATCCAGTACAGATCCAGCGGACTCAAATTTCGCAATCAAGCGTATAATGGTCGACACGGTGAAAGGATCTTTGATGAGACCATTTTTGGTTTTGTAACCACGAGGTGCGGTGTTGACACTTTCACCAAGGGAATAATAGAGTTTCACAATTTCAGTGCGCGTACTAGCATCCACGAAAAACAAAAAATGAAAACACTTGCACAAAAAATCTCTTTTATGTGGCTACTAAGTTTGGAAGATTTTTTATCTTTTCTTTGATAATCTACGTTTAGTTACTCAATTAAATTTTGCGTCTATTATGAGACAAAAGAGGGATGACGAATGTGGAATGAGTTGAATACATTTGAACTTCAGAAGTTCTTTTTCCGCTAAACTAACTATCTTTGTCCTTTTCTTTCACATAAAGGAGACCACAGAGTGGCAATATGGAATCCCCGTAAGTTGACCGCGTGCTGTTGAACGGTATCGAATGAGTTTTTTGTGTGAAAAGTTGATGGTTTATTACGCGCGATTGTCGAATCAGAGAGGTTTGTCAACCTGTCTGTCTGGCAGCAAACGTTTCTTCACAAAATTTCCTATTCGGTAGTTTCGATGTAATGGGTTCACCTGACATCATATCACATGATTTGAACTGACCCCTGTAATGAATATGAATTCCATAATTTCCGTTTTATTCTCTCCAGGGAGCGCCTGGTGAAAAGGGAGAACCCGGTCTCAAGGGAGAGAAAGGTCAACCGGTGAGTAATGCTACGCTGCTTGAACAATATTCTCTTCTTATGATTGTTGATTGCGGAAGCATTCAGAGGAGCCACTTAGTGTGGACTCGTTTTGGTCATTATTCTACCCCGAATCTGGGTTAGCACCATGGGAACCAGTGGGGCTTACGAAGGGCAACCGCGTGGTTTTACAAGAAATACCTGGCGGATTAGCTGCTCAAAGACAACTGAAAAGTCAGTCTATACATGGTGGAATCATGTATCGCACTTCTCTCCAAAGTTCACTGTCACTTGTCTTCTACTCTGGTTTGTTTGGCATATTCTCCTACAGTCTACCTTTGGCGCACAATTCTACCCCAGTATTGTCAACCAACCAGATCAACCAATGAAAAGAACGCTGACTCAGGACGACGCTGATAGGATAAAAACTATCTACGGGCACTCGAGGTCTGGACAACGAATTGATAAAGAGCCCCATTCAGCCGGATAGGTGCTGACGGGAGCATGCCTGCGGGCCACAGCCAATGAAGTCGAACACGATTTGGACAACGGAATGGCTCGTGGGTCTGTGGGTGGCCGAAACTATGCGCTGCCTCGCATCAGTTATCACAGTCTTCGTGTTTTTAACGTGGCCCGCTTTAGCAAGGCACAGTGGACTAGCTATTTTGGCATGATTCTGGTGCCGGCTGAACAGTGATAGCCCACCCTCACACTCGTAATAACTATTATCATTTATTTTTGAAGAGCGTGGTCACAAACATAAAACGTGAATGCAAGCGATGAATGCGAAACAGTAACAGGAGAATATGGAAGAAAAGAGAGAAACGTCCTATTCGAAATCATGCCAAGAACAGTTCCAGTCTGATGAGATGAATCCCAAAGTATGGAAACACGCGTCTAAAGACCAACAACCGAAAAAAGGACAAACAATGGTGAATGCTCTTCAAGGCACGGTAGGCGCTAGCACATTCAACCTACGCTGTGCTGATATTCTCAGCACATCCACCATACGGTACAGTGCTGACACGGTCGATAATTCTTCAACAAACTTTCCGTTGCAGTGAAACTATTCCTGATCCTCCGGTTGATGTCATCTAGCAGCTTATAGGGAAAGCGGTTCACATCAACGCAGTTCCAAAAGGATGTGGGAAACATACTGGTTTTCTCCTTACATCCGATCTTTCAGCATTGATGGGAAACGGCCTAGCCGCGGAAAGTGACAATCCGGGATGTCTCTGCAGTTGAGACACAATAACGCTAAGACTCACAAACTCATCGGTTGTACGTCTATAGGTTTTTTCTGCACACACACACACACACACACACATCTAAAGCGACTTGTGTCTTGCGTGAATCAGCTTCACCGCCATGTCATGTGACTCCTGTCCGGGAAAGCAGACTAACGTAGGCGTGGTTAGCTGACATGCCAACCGATTCGCTATATCCCGGCCCTTGCACGACCAGCCCTGTTTTATGTGACCTGCAGAGACGAGCGTATCAAATCCACCGACATGGTGAGATCCGATGCGGCCACTGCGTGTGGCCCGAGGACATTTGTGCGTGTACACGCCCATTTCGAGTAATTTAGCGCTTGGCCCGGAGTTTTGAAAATCCTAACAAAGTACAGGCTTCAGGGATGTGCCCACGTACCATCGGTCGCTGAGACAATCTAACGTACGGTACAACTGCCTCAGTGAATACGCCTCAGTGACGGAGAGCCAAACTCAGTGGGGAGTGGGTTAGCTGAGACGAACTCTTTGAATTCGCCTTAGGTTGGGAAAGCATACCATGGGACACATCCAAAAGACTCGTTGATGACGATCCTTTAGGCACTGTGTGGCATCACCGTACCATCAACGCCTTTCTACTGTTTGTGATATTTTTCCTACTGAAACTTCAGCTGATCCAAAAAAACTTATTTTACCTTTGGTGACTGGGTTCGAGCCCGGGTTTTGTTAGACAGTTTGATGAATTTGACAAGAGTTTGAGATCTTCCGGTGCCTTCAGAATCGATTCACGTTTTCTAGATATCTACTGCGTCCAGGAGGTTTATGCTATCTGATGGAAATTACCAAAGTATCCTTCACATATCAAGATCTTAAATGGGGTCCGAGGTGTAAGGCCATTCCCGAGGAATTCGTAGTACCAAAACCCATCACACCGGCAACAGGACACCTGCGTTTCCGTCATTAGTTGTTGACTGTTGCGGGATTCGCTGACATCACTCTCGTTTGAACAGTCGTCCTCCTGTCCTGGCGTAGTTATTCTGATGAGTCCATCCAAAACGGGGGGAAGCACTGAGCTTCCTCCTTTTAGTATGGACTGGCTACAATGATTGTGGCAGGACAGGAGGACGAGAGTGTTTTGAACGTGATTTCCCTCACTAATTGATTAGTTTTCTGATTTTTCCATTCGGATCTTTAACATGCGGGGGGAAGCACTGAGCTTCCTCCTTTTAGTATGGACTGGCTACAATGATTGTGGCAGGACAGGAGGACGAGAGTGTTTTGAACGTGATTTCCCTCACTAATTGATTAGTTTTCTGATTTTTCCATTCGGATCTTTAACATGATCGTCCTTCAAGTAACCGATTGAGTGATCAACAGGGACCACTAGTCTTAGTTCGAACCCATCGAGATCTTGCATAACACGATTTATTTACAAGGTAAATCAATGACGGAAGAGACTGGTGTCCCGGTATCAATAAATTTCTCAGTTTTATGATTGTCCGCCGGTGCTTTATAGATTGACAGCCTAGACCATCAAATCCAAGGAAATCGGGACACAACGATGCCACTCATGTTGGAAAGAGAAAAACGTGAGCTACTGTACCGTGATTCGCCGTTCAAAACTTGGCCGTGGTGGGTCGAATCCTGGTTTGCCAGGAAACCGCTTCATTAGCTCACCAGACCGGCATGTTTGCTGCGCTTCCATGTTATCTGTGTGTGGCACACCCGGCCGAATCGGACGTCTCCAGAAAGACTCCACTCTGGCTGTTATGGCAGTTGCCCGTCGTAATTCCACCTCATCAGCCCCAGTTGAACCGTTATTACGTTTTCCTTGAACAAGTCACTGGCATTCTGACAACAGCTCACGCCGATTCTTCGAAGGAACATCATCTGGGCAGTGAAATGGCAGTTAGAAATGGCGTGATTCCTATTTTCTCGAGGAAACGGAGTTGATGACGGTACCACGGTGTAGTGGTGAAAAGCCTGTCAATATCCACTCAATTGAAAAATGCTTGGGATCGATTGGGAAGTCATCGCTTCAGAGAGGTTCGGTAAACACCCGGTGGATTTACTGCTGGGCAGCGCTTCGCTTTTGACACAAAAGCTTCATTAGGTCAAGGGAGTAAGTAGGTAGGTTGATTGGGTTTTAAGGCAGTCAGAGAACCAATCGGTGAGATTTCTTATGACTAGCCGACTTGATCAGTGCTAGGTGTTCAGTCTGATGTCCCTGTTTGTTGGTTAGTGGAGATGACTAACTTCTACGATAGATTGGTTAGAGGGTAGGAGCTGTCTTCATGTTGAACCCGGATTTTTCGTCCTTGGTTTTTCAGTCTAGGACACATTAATGGAAAATTCCTCTTGGGGTCGTTCACAGATTTCGTTCACCTGTGTTCGTCAAAGGGTGTTGGGACAATTGGTTTGGGGATCGGGGTGGGATGGTTAATTGGATCTAACTCTACTTGGATTTTGTACTTTTAGACCCAGACCATTTCGCTGATAACTGCACACCGCCTCGTGTCATCTCGTCCGATCTAAGACCGCTCTCTACATGCTTGCAAGTCCTACTCTTTCTACTCTATTTACGCTGGGACGCTTGGCGATTTCCACCGCCTCTGACAGTCGCTGTGGTGTGAATCTTAAACCTCGTCTCAAGATGTCCACGTTTTCTAAATCTCTCCTTTGCCCAGTGTCTAGTGCATGCCCTGCCATTGCCGATCTTTGACTATCGGCTGATATTCGCCTGGCTTTCTTGGTGGTCTATTAATGTTTATCTTATGTTCACTGATCCTGGTGTGTAATTCCCTGGCTGTCTGACCTGTATGAACCTTCGTACAGTCGTTACAGTTTGTTTTGTATACACATTCCCTAGTCCTATCAACCGGAAGGCGATCCTCCAAATGCACCAACACCGACCGTAAAGCCTTTCCCTTCTGGAATGCTACTCTTTTGTTAGCCGTATTCAGTACCCTTCTAATGACTTCAGATGTCCCTGTTCTGTATGGAATGACCGCTGTTCCGATCCACTCCTTGTTGGGCTTTGGTGTTGACACCAATACCCGTCTTAGTTGCCGCTTAATTAAGCGAAACGTTGTCCAGCAACAAATCCACCGAGTGTTTACCGAACCTCTCTGAAACTATCTATATCCATTTTATAACTGTATTGTTTTTTTGTGTTGGTGGAAGCCGATTGGAGCGAAAACTAAATCAGAATGAATTGATGGCCAAGTAACGGTCTTTTAGTCGCGTATAATACGAATCACGACGTGTTTCGGTCCTCTTGCACGCCGCTTAATGAAACGTTGTCCAGCAACAAATCCACCGAGTGTTTACCGAACCTCTCTGAAACTATCTATATCCATTTTATAACTGTATTGTTTTTTTGTGTTGGTGGAAGCCGATTGGAGCGAAAACTAAATCAGGATGAATTGATGGCCAAGTAACGGTCTTTTAGTCGCGTATAATACGAATCACGACGTGTTTCGGTCCTCTTGCACAACGACTACATCTACTCACTCTCTGGCCTTCGTTTGTCCAACGCAGGGACGTGACGGAAGAAGCGGGATCCCGGGAAGTCCTGGATCTCCCGGCGTACCAAGTCACATACTGGTTATGCCACTGCCGAGCTTTGGTAAAAACGAATTATCTCGAATGGCCAGCTTCCGAACGATGGTTCAACAGTCTGTGGTAAGTTCAGGTTATCTGATAGGTTTGATCTTTGGACTAGAATTATACTGTCTGCTGCCGTCTTTGCATACTCGAATCTCAGGTACCTACCAATTGTTTCGTAGGCGTTTAGTTTGCTTCGCTGTAGTCCGTAAGTTGGAACGAATTTTTGTTACTCGACATCTTTATCACATTCATGCGACTTTAACATCCAATCGAGTGGTGTCACGAGTATATGCTCAGACGTCTGAACTCCGGAAAAATTCAAAAATACCATCTTTGTTGAAAGTCACCGGTAGTACGACTTGCACCAATCTCTGATGTGCTTCAAGGCCGCAACCATCCAATCAGAAGGCTGAACATTATTCCATTCAGAGACGCGTTTCTAACTAGGGACGCAGAATCACACCTGCTAAAACCCCGCTGTTTACTTCAGGTGAGGACAGACAGGAAATACTTCAGAAAAATTCGAGGTATGTTTTACCACTGTTCAACATCAAACTGTTCGCCAATTGGAGTCTGACCGGAAGCCATGATCGACGGTAGACGGACCTGCATCCAGCTGCGGACAGCCGATAAAAATGGCTTCATAATATGGACAAGCTAATTCTAGGTCACATCTGCGCTTAGGTAGAACGAATGCTTGACGAAAACTCGGGGACTTCGCCTACCTGATAAGCTCCAAGCAGAACACGAACGGTCATGGGCTGTCCAAGAGTTTCCAGCAACATTAGGATTAGTGTGCTCTGTGTGTACCAAACTCTGGGATATTTTTCGATAATGAAGCCACCCTGCTGTTGAAATTCTGATCCTAATGCTGACGACTTGCCCGTCAAACATAAGCTGACCTACACTCTGTGGCATAACCGTGGAGACATTCGACCCTCCCCCCGCTGCGACCCGCTGCTGAACACTGCGGTTTCATGATTTTATTGTCACTGATTTCTACTCCAGCTGCCTTCGGATCGTAAGCGCGTGTGTGAGGATCGTTAATCCGCCGGCGTTGGTCACATGCTCCGTTTAGTTCGTCCTCAAGCTAAGCATGTAGAAGACTACATCTCAGGTTTCAGTTTGAAGGCATAGTCAGTTAAGCTCGAAATAGATCGATGGTTAAATTTGCTGACTAACTGGCTTGGAAGCCCCATGGTTCGAACCGGAACTGGACTGCTCATATCTAGGCTTGGGGAGCCTTCGTGCTTCCTTCAAGTAGTTGGGCACCGAAAGGATGTTATAGCTGAACGAGTGTTCATCATTCCATTTCTACGTCCTAGTGCTATGCATTGAAGAACTATTCGACAAGCAGTGCATTGGATTTTAGCGCAATTAAACCCAGCCTTGTAACTGGGTGGTAGGTTCATTCAGCTAGAGCGAATTTGTCGATGCGGCGCACCTCGTGGCCTTCACTGTTTCGGTTAACAACGCCAGAGATCGAGCCTGTCAAGAAAAGAATACTATCTCCATATTAAAGTGTGTTTTGACCTCTTTACTCCTGAAATACTAGTTCAAGCATGGTTTGGTTACTGTGAGCCAAGTAAAAGTACACATGTGAGGATGACACACTAGTGGCATGGCAACCGCGGGTAAGGTCACTGTATATAGACTTGCGCACGAATTACTTACAGCCAATTCAGGATTAAAATGAGACCTTGTCAGCCTACCTCACATCATAGAATCATGCGAAAAGTGACTGAACAGGGTGGAGCAATTCTGAGATCGAACAAATCACCATACAGCCACAACGAACTATTACCGTAGGGCCTCGCGAACAAGGTTGGAATGAGCGATTAACAGAATTCCATAGGCAATTCTTCTAAGTTGTACCACGACCAAGATAAATTCACACACAAACGTTTGCTAACGTTGACAAAACGTTACAGAATACTTTCATAAAGGAAACTACTCACAAGGTTGCTGAAAACTCTTCGACAGCCCACGACCGGGCTCATCAGGTAGGCGCAGTCCCCGAGTTTCCATCAACCTTATCGTCCTACTTGAACCTAGATTGGACTGTTTTCGAGAAATACGCTCATTTGCAAGTCAATTTGGTTTTCACGAGAGACTCAACCGAATCTCTCGTTTATGGTATTCCACAACTGAATGTACTTCACGCAGGCTGCCTCATTTTTCAGTTGGCACGATATTCGAGACATCGCAGTATATTTTCTTGGGGGAAACTACTCACAAGGTTGCTGAAAACTCTTCGACAACCCACGACCGGTTTCGCCCTTCTGAGAGCTCATCAAGCAGGCGCAGTCCTCAAGTTTCCGTTAACCTTATTTTCTAATTGATTTGCAAATCAGTGTATTTCTCGGTTGCAGAACACTCTTTAGGGATAAGAGGACGTGAATTGGGGCATGCATACAAGTTTCTTTCACTTTAGGACAAGCAATTTAATTCACTCATGACGAGAACTGACAATGCAGAGGGGTGACACTCACCATTCACACGAATGGTAAGGATTTACGCGACTAAACGGGTTGTATGTGTTGCCCCGTTAGAGGACATAATGATGTCCAATATGATTAAAACACTATGGGACAATTAGTTCATCAAGTAAAAGAAAAACGGTTCTAAAAAATGCCTTCATTCATTAATACTACTGATTAAAAATTTACTACTTTTATCCCAGTCTATCCGACGAGACGTGCAACCGTCTGATTGTTGGTCGAACATTGATTCGTTGGTCAAACCGTCTAGGTAAACAAACCTTGAATATAAAATCCGGCGTTACTTCCACCCATTTCGAATGTCACACTTTTCAAATGTCTGCCTGAACGCCAGGTTGCCTCCGGTAGTGACCCGGGGGATAAGGTGAAAAAAGGCATTGGTTCGCTCCCAGAAACTTTCACCCTATTAGGCGATATCATTACGCTTTTATCAGTGAACAAGCGGTCTTTCTGAGCGCCTTTCCGAATGCCTCATTGGCTTTTTGGATAAGCCTGGTTGTGCTAGGTTAGACTACTGATTAGTCCTTTAGTAGTTGCGTAGGGCGATGCAGGATTTGCATCGGCTCCTACCCCCACAGTTACAATGTAGCCTGATGGTTCATCCAGGCGGATTTCTTGGAGCACACCTCATGACTCACCGTAATTAGCTTTTCTACAGAATTTAGGAAAATGGTGGCGTCCACAACGACTTTTGACGCAGCCACCCGACATTTTGGATATCCAAAAGTTTGATTAGAGGTTACGTTTATCCAGCCCGGACCCCGATTGTATTCCTCCCAGCCTGTCAACGAGTGCTATTCTTTTTGAGAACCATTGGATCGTCAATCGTGGAAGTCACGTGAGGGGGTCAACCAGGATAACGAGTGGCATCAGATTGCATCCGTTAGGTAGACGTGTAACGACGTGAGGACTCGTCGAGTGAGCGTGAGGACGCAGGTTCGAGTTCCTTACACAAGCGTTTATTTGTTGAATTTTGATTTAGCAGCTCAACTGTAATTATCAGTATACACTTATCTAAGCGGGTACTTTAGGCGCGGTTTTGATACCGTTTTTGGTGTGCGAAGGAGAGGTATATGGACCATCTATGGATTGAAACGAATACGAAAAATATAGGTTTTACTTGAAGGAAACTATCTATAAGGTTGCTGAAAAAAGCCTGAAGGTGAATATAAGGAAAAGAAAATCACGAGTAAACCCAGCCATTGATCGAAGAAGAACATACCGAAATAGGCAAAAAGCTGATCGAAGGTGAGTAATATGCAAGAAAATTAAAATGAACAACGATATATGTTACAAAATCCAACTAGGAAAGCAATGGGTGGCATGGGATAGAAAACGGCATAAAGCAGAATGTTCCCGAGGTAGGAATGCCTCGTTTGAGTAAGAACTAAATGCTCGCGTATTGGCTAGATCGCGATTATTCACTGAGTCTAACCTGTGTATAATAGAGGGACTCAGTCGATTGATAGCGACAACTTCACTGTTGGACTAGGTATAAAAATACTCTTGAAGAATTCGAGGAAACCTTACTGTGTGACCAGCGTCTAACAACTGTTTGGTTGTCAGTTGCTTTGGGTAGCCCGAAACAAAATTCTCTAATAACCGTGGGACATAGTTAAATTAAGTTTGACGTTGTTGTGGACCACAGTCTCCTTAATGCCTCCTTATTACCGTGAACCTCGGTCTGGATAGCCAACTGATCGCTTGGCCAAACCAGAAAAATCAATGAACGTGCGAGCCAGCTGATCTATTGATCACTGTCGCGTACAAGCGGTCCAAGAAAAGTGGTACTGAGAATACAACTCATCCGTCACGGGCGAGTGAATAACAACCAATGAAATCTGTCTCAACAAAAACGGTTATTCCATTGGTTGTTATGTAGTCCCGTTACGTTCGGAGCTGGTTCTCCTAATAGACATGATATGCAGGAACAAGGGACCTTCCTCCGCTGTTGTCAATGATCCTCGCGAGGAACGTTAATCTAGAACCATTTTGCAGTTGTCCAGAGCCTGAATGCAAGCGACGACGAATTGTCGAGAAGATCTCATAACCCTTGACTTACAGCCATAGGTAGGGTAGCTTTATTGGTGAAGCACCATGAGAGTCCCGAATATTTATCAGTCCATCCGACAAAATGCACCTCTTAATTCGAGTCACTTTTCACTGAGGCGAATTCCGACCACACTCCCTTACCTGTATCCAGGTTCTTACGGTTTGTTTCCCAAAAAGTGCTCAGCACTTGCACTTGGTGGGAGTGACTCGTCATTCATGTGGAAATCCAGAAATGACAGGATCCAATCCTGTCCACTTTCTGCCGTAAATCTTGGGTGAACGTGACGCTGTTCAGGAACCGGTAGATTCCAACTGGATGATCATGCTTAGAGCTAACTGGCAGATCTGTTGCTGTGTATAGGTTAATAATATTCGGCTTTCTGTGAGTCACCTTTACCAGTGCATTACAGCAGTGATGCATCCGACGGGGGACAGGAGTACCAAGGATGAACGAAGCAGATGTTGGATTATAAACCTTACCCACTATTCGCAGACAGAACTGCAGTTGTGCTCTCTCCGTTTTTGTGGAAGTGGTACCACACTGTCGATTTTCTACCGTTTTTCTTTCTGCTCAAATTGCACACATTTTCAAACCTGTATCGATTTCCAGATGATGTTGAAGGGCAGTCGTGGACAGCAAGGAATGACTGGTCTTCCCGGTATCCAAGGACCTCCTGGCTATGTTGGCGAAAAGGGCGAGCAAGGTCACACTGGAGATCCCGGATTCATGGGTCCCTCGGGTTTACAAGGTCCTCCGGGACCAAGTGGTCCACGAGTGAGTATATCATTCCATCTCAGTACTAGTGTAAGGGAAATTAGGACTATCCCTCAAAAGCTACTCGTTTCGTTTTGTTCTAGGGACGACCAGGATTGGATGGTGAGGTTGGAGCGAGCGGACTCTCGGGGAGCAAAGGACAACCTGGGCTTCCAGGGCCCCCAGGACTGCCCGGACCCATGGGACACAAAGGTGATGTGGGACCGCAGGGTAACAAGGGAGATATTGGTCCCCGCGGTCCCGTTGGCCCACGAGGCAGGACTGGTGAAGTTGGACCGGTTGGTGAACCAGGACCCCCCGGATTACAGGTCAGTTTGCGGTTTCTGATCCACACACTAACGTAACCAATCAGTCTGACTGCAATCCATCCAAGCAGGATGATATCAAAGAATGCAATAATTTAGTGGATGCAGAAGAGTGCTTGAAAGCTACAATTAAATTCTTCTGAACCTATTCTGTTCTGAAGGATCCTGGTGATTCCATCAGGTAACACTGCATCCACGCCATCCCCGGCCTTTTTTGCCTAGATTTCTTCTTCTAAGACTAATATTTCCGTTCCGAACAATTTTGGAGTTCTGTTCCAGCACAACAGACATCATCAAGAAGACAGAGACACGCTACGAGTTTGAAAACAAGAACAAACAATAAAGAAGGGTGAGATGGCCTAAGTGGTTAGAGCACGAATTTACTGACCAAAAAGTCCGTGGTTCGAATCCGACCTCTGCCTCTGACATCAGCAGCCCAACTCCAAGCCAGTGTCTTCCACTATGAGACGAAATGATCACGGGAAAACAGGAAAGAGATTCTTCCAGGTTTTTGTTTATATTAAGCGGGAATATGTGTTGTTCGTGACATAATACACGATCAATCGGTCGAGTCTGTTTTCGTCCATCCACCATACCGCAGTTTCCCGCCTCATTTCGGCCGTTCATTGTTTACGGTCGACGAAAAATATCCATTTTGCTTGGAACTTTGTACTATTCCGACATTACAACATTGAGTAAAAATCAGATCCATTGATCTGAAGAAAGGTATCTTCGGGAGAGATGAATTTTTTTTACATCGAGCACTGGTGTGAAGAACCATGCTGTTCTTGTAGGGAGGTAACTGATGAAGAGGGCTGTGCGAACACCACATTTCGAAAAATGCTATTTTAGTCCAGCTGTCAGGCAACATCCCATTGCAGGGGACCATACTGTTGAGGGTGAACTAGTGCGTATCATCAACATGCTCAAAAAGCGAATACCTGACGCTAAAGACATTGGCGATAGACTCAAAGGACGATCGATAAGTAACCTCATACAACACCCTTTCAGTGAGGACTTTGCTGCCGCATAAATGAGATTCCGATATTCGAGAAATACACCCATTTGCAAATCATTTTGGTTTGCACGATAGAATCAACTGGATCTCTCGTTTATGATATTCTACCACTGGATGTACTTCACACAGGCTGCCTCATGTTTCATTTCGCACGATATTCGAGAATATCATAACCAAAGAGATTCGGTTGAGTCTCTCGTGAAAACCAAATTGATTTACAAATGAGTGTTTTTATCAAAATCAGTCCAATTTGGGTTCGAGTAGAACATAAGGTTGACGGAAACTCGGGGACTGCACTAACCTGATGAACCCGAAGGAGGACGAAATCGGTCGTGGGCTGTCGAAGACTTTTCAGCAACCTTGTGAGTAGTTTCCTTTATGAAAGAGATTCCGATATGTTCAAATGACCATTGAACAAGTTACTTTTTTGAGATCACCATATACGATGATTCAACTGATATTAATTTGAGTTTTCCGTTATTAACAAGTTTCTTTTCGAATGGATAGCTCCAATCTGCATCTTTAGTTAGTCTCACTTTCAGTGTCCCTCAACTAGTTTCATTTATTTACAGATCTATCTGTGAAGTTTCCTCGATCGCATGCGTCAGATTTGCTTTGTGGAATCCCTCAGTAGATCCAGTTTTGAGCTTGGGAGCACGGACAGCGGTTGAGGAGCGAACTCAATGACCGGAAAGTCCATGGCTCGAACCTAACTTATACTGAAGTTGAGTTCGAGCCAAGACAGACCGCTCCTGTCTAGGCTTGGGCAGTGTCTCATCCTTCATGCTTCCTGCGAACGGTTATCACCATTAGTGTTGTTTTAATTACAATTTAGGTACCTAAATGGGATTTTCCGTTACCTGCCTTCCCTTGCAACATATGAATAGTACGTATTGCGTTTTTGATGATCGGATAACAGCAGCGGTACGTTTTGGGCTGTACATCGACCTTCATATACCGAAGAATGTAGATGCAGTCTAACACCTTGGCGTTTAAAATCCACTTCGTTTATCGATTGGTTATGACGCCGGTGACAGAGAACACAATTTAACACTGGATTCTCACATGGAAGATGGCAGTTGTCGCTCCATACTCAGGGAAACAGGAAACCGGGTTCGTTTAGCAGACGGAATTTCGGACGGATAAGAGAATTAATCGTGTGGAGGCAAATTCAACAGTTAATTTTCATAAAGAAAACTACTCACAAGGTTGCTGAAAACTCTTCGACAGCCCACGACCGGTTTCGCCCTTCCCATTCGGGCTCATCAGGTGAGCGCAGTCCCCGAGTTTCCATCAACCTTATGTTGTACAGCTAATGTTTTTTTGTTCGTAGAAGATTATTTTCTCTGTCATTGTGAAAATTCTGTGAAATTCCGCGTCGCAGGCAGAACGCAGACCGCTGGTTCCCAGATCAAGTGGCAAAGAGTGACCGGAAGAATTTGTCATCGCATCATTCGAACGCATAAAGTTGCATGAAGTCGACCGGTACGTTTATTGAGACCTGTACTGTACCACCAGTGCACCCATAGTGATTCAAACTCGGATAAGACCTTATGTAGTCAACGGGATCAACTTGAAGTTCCGGTGGATTGTATCTCCATCACAGGCCTTGGTATGAAAAACCTAGCTCTATGTAATGCAAACTAATCGCCTAGGACTGAAGTCTCGCCAAGTAGCTTGACTCCAAAATATGTTTTTTTTACAAAATCGAGTATTAGTAGCTCGAAAATTTCTGGTTCTCTTTGCACATTCTCATTCCTAGGGTCCCATGGGGCCTCCCGGACCACCGGGAGTTCGCGGATTGCCAGGGAGCATGGGTCCTGGCGGAATGAAAGGCGAAATGGGTGATGTTGGTATTATGGGACCCCCTGGCCCTCGAGGCCCAGTCGGCCCCCCAGGTATGCTCGGACCTCAGGGCCCTAGAGGCCTCACAGGTTTACCCGGACTAAGAGGGCCACCCGGTGAACGTGGTCCTCAGGGAAGCCCTGGTTTGCCTGGGAATCCTGGACAACAAGTAAGCGATTTTTGTACTTTGTCATAGTACTGCATCGGAGCTCCGACATCTGATGGTCACAGTGCGTAGCTGCAACTGTAATTTACTTATGACCAGAATGATAATTGTCCAATTCAAACTTTCACATTTTGTTTTCCCCCTGGACGTCGGCAATCTGTCACTCAGCATTTCCTCTTTCTTGGAACAACTTCACGTTGAATTAAGTAGGTTCAACCACACTCTGTTTCCAGGTCAACTAAGATGTCAGTTTCACTGGTTACCAGACCATTGCTTATCGTATTCACGGTTCTTCCCGCCGTTTTTGAAGTACAGAGAAGGTACTGCGTCAGTATCCTGATTAGTTGAATATCTGAATATCTGCAATTCACACTTAATCCCAAGGTCATCAACCATGACGTAATCTCCTATAAATCAATAAACCTCGGCTTATACCGGGAACATCTGCAGTTGTTATTCGTCTGCACAAGAGTCGGTTTGAGTGTGATTGCTTACCTGTCACGATGAAAAAACGGAAGTTTATTCACCCGGACTTCGGATTAATCACGTCTTCTCTAAATTTCAGGGAAACGTTGGGCTTAAGGGTGAACCGGGAGCGCCAGGGCTGGTTGGTGACAGTGGTCCTCTCGGTCCTCTGGGGTACAAAGGCGATCGTGGGCCACGTGGGCTCATTGGACCAAAAGGAGACCAGGGCGCACCTGGAAAAACGGGTGTACGAGGTGAACGAGGAGAAAAAGGAGCCAAGGGCGAACCAGGAAACGCGGGGCCCCGAGGAAGTGATGGCCCCCTTGGGAGTAAGGGAGAAAATGGAATGCCTGGAGAGCCGGGGTCGAGGGGTATGGAAGGTCCAAAGGTAAGCCGGATTAATTTGAATTGTTTATTCACATATGAAATCCACTACTTAGACCTCTGAAATCTCTGTTGTGCATGTGATGGCAACAATGACGTCCATAAGTTCTTTACTACTTATTAGCAGTTAATACGTTGGTTGATAAACGGGGGCGATTTAAATACTTTTTGCCACTGCATCTATCACCTGTTATCAAATGACTAATTTAGAAACGAATGGAGTTAACGTCAGAAAACTGTATGCCCAGGAAGAACACAAGTTCAACAGACTAATGTAAAAAGGAGGAGCTTCCATGAGAAGCGACAAACAGGGGGTTGTCTGAAGTTATTGGCCCAAACAACCTGTTCAGTAGAAGCTTGTCTGAAAACTAGGTGCAGTCGTTAAGAAGATGCCTTCTTTTCGACTCTACCCCAGAACCACCGACTTCCAATGGAATAATCCTCGTCAAAAACACAAAACTTTTGAGTTTTCCTATGTAAAAAGTAGTGGATGCCAGATTATAGGTCTGCAACGACTGCCAGTACGATGTAGCACGTAAGGTGAAGAGCTTGGTAAAATTTTCATAAAGGAAACTACTCACAAGGTTGCTGAAAACTCGTCGACAGCCCAGGACCAGTTTCGCCCTTCCTATTCGGGCTCATCAGGTAAGCGCAGTCCCCGAGTTTCTGACTGCGATGAAAAGATTATACCAAGCTTTTCGAGAAATACACTCATTTGCAAATCAATTTGGTTCTCACGAGAGACTCAACCGAATCTCTCGTTCATGATATGGGTTTAAATAGAACGATAAGTCTGACGGAAACTCGGAGACTGCGACTACATAATGACCCCGAATGGGAAGGGTGAATCCGGTCGTGGGCTCTCGAGGAGTTTTCATCAACCTTTATGAAAATATACTGCGATATCTCGAATATCGTGCCAACTGAATCAGGAGGTGGCCTGTGTGCAGCGCATTCAATTGTAGAATGCCATGAACGAGAGATTCACCTGAGCCTCTTGTGAAAACCAAATTGATTTGCAAATGAGTGTATTTCTCGAAAAGCTTGGTATAATCTTTTCATCGCAGTCAGACAGTCGATCCAAATCACCAAGCGGACGACGCCACGGCTATCTTGAATCGCAAGAAGTATGGAGCTAAGGTGCGAATTGATACTCACCGACCTCGTAACACCCCCTGATCACTATTGCATTTCATAAAATCCCAAACAACTCCCCCCAGTTTCGCAAATTTGTTGAAAAGTTCCAAATTGTGGTGAACGCAGCTGGTTTCGTAAGACTTTAATGAAGGATCACCGAGTGGATGAACAATGAGTATAAGAACAGGTAGCAGTCAGTTTGAGCGCCATAACGACTATAAAAGCCAATTGCCGATGCGAAAAACAAACCAAACGTCTCGTGGTATGAGGTATTACCTCTGTCCCCTCAAAATGAGTCAATTTCCTTTGCTGCTCCCTTATGCCTGTACTCAGTTTTCGGTCAAGTACTGTTTAAAAAGCAACTTTTAATGTTTACACAGTCGAGTCACACCAACGACTCTGAACTAGTTTAGTTTAGTGTTTATCGGAGCATTGTGTCTAGTTGTCATTCCACCCGAGACTCATAGTGAACTATATGAGGTATGTGACTTTGTTGATTATCTTTGGAACATAACAAAGTTGCTTGTACCGTTTTTGGTTAACTTCGCTTCAACTATTGTCTCATTTTCAAGGGCAATCAAGGTGGGCGTGGTGCTGCTGGTTTTGTTGGATCACAGGGGCCCAAAGGTGCAGTTGGTCCAGCTGGGCCCATCGGTCGTACTGGGGAGAAGGGTGATCCTGGTCCGATAGGTCCTCTTGGACCTCGTGGGCCTGTTGGCCCACCCGGTGCGCCTGGACCACGAGGAGCTCCTGGACCGTCAGGCCCAACGGGAATGAAAGGAGATGAAGGCCCGGTAGGGCCGACCGGACCAATAGGTCCAGTTGGACCTCAGGGTTCAAGAGGGCTTCCCGGATTTGTCGGGGGTGCTGGGCCTGTGGTAAGTGAATAGGCAAAATTTCTGTTTTGAGAGCATACCAAAATTAGAGGAGGTCTTGACAAAAACTAAAAGAAAGGTTGCTAGTCTTTCATTTGTACCACTAACAAAAACCGTTTCTAGTGTCTCTCTAAACTGGGAGGAACCAGCGTACAATTCGACAGACGGCTAATGTCGGATGCTCGCCACTTGATCTACCCAAATGGACCCTGGTTGTCTAGGAAGCATGTTACGTTGCCGGTCTAGTGGAACTACAAATTTTGTTATTGCTGTTGCACTCACGAGGTTGGCACCAAAATACCGCGGTAGCTATCAAAGCAGACAAATTTTAGAGGCATAGCTTGATTACCTTGACAAGTCACATAACAGCTCGGCTTTCAGAAAGCTTAGAAAAGCGTGGATACTGGGAGCGTCCAATGCGTTGCTCCAAATTTCGCTCTTTATTCAACGGTCTGCAAGTCTTCTCATCATAGATGGAATGATATTTAGCCCATAATGAACTGAAGTCTGAAGAGGAGCACTACTCACAGGGTTGCTGAAAACTCTGCGACAGTGTCGCGCTTCTTGAGGATCGTCGAATAGACACAGTCACCGAGTTCTTCTTGAACCCAGAATTGTACAAAATTCGTTGAATAGACTTATTTTCACGGGAATTCGGTCTTAACGCGAGACTCGGACGCAACCCAGCTGAAGCACATAAACGAGATATCCAGGTGGGATGCATTTGGTTCTGCAAATGACTCTTCTTCAGGGATCTGCAAATTTTCCTGGTCTCTTTGAGTTAGATGCCCAGAGACAACACCCCAGTCAGTCTGAACAATGAAATTAGGTGATACGTTGAAGTCGTATTGACAAATGTGATTGGGTAATCTCAAAAGTGGTGTATTCAAAATCTTCCCATCTTATCCCGCCAAACTGCTCCTTGTTTCTATCCTCAGGGCTTGCCTGGACGTCCTGGACCCCCGGGTTATGTGGGCGACCGTGGAGAGCCCGGTGAACCTGGCCTTCCTGGAGAAATCGGCCCCGTGGGTATGGTTGGAGCACCAGGTCAAACTGGGGAGCAGGGAGCTGTCGGAGAACGTGGATTAGCTGGCCCTCGTGGTCCACAAGGAAACCCTGGGAGACCAGGTGTAGAAGGTTTTGAAGGACCCCAGGTACACTTAAGGTCTTCAGAAAACTCACCAATGCATTTGAAGGATTTTTACTGTCATGTGTACTTTTGGCAGCCTGAATGTCAAGGACTTATTTGGAGGTTTGAATTTTACGACTCACACGCACAGATTCCTACTCCCTCTTTTTCAAAAAGCCCCTGAATTAAGCCAAATTACACCATGCGTAAAAATGCCAAAAGATCAATAGTATGTAATCACTTGTTGTTGCGTTTAGATTTTGGAATTTTCAGAAACGGAATTCAGTTGAGTTGGAGAGTATTAGAGCAGCTGAATCGCGGTTGGCGCGTATTTTCTCTTCTCAGCCTGCTGTTTGCCCCCGAATCAGAAGCAGCTGCTCACCAGACCAAAACGCTTTACCGTTTACTGCACATTCTTTCATTCTAGGGCGACAAAGGGGATGTTGGTCCAATCGGCCCGACCGGTCCGAGTGGTCCGGTCGGTCTTCGTGGCAGTCCGGGTCCCGTTGGTCCATCGGGTGAAGTCGGTCCTAAGGGAGACCAAGGACGACCCGGAATGCAAGGAAGCATAGGAGACAAAGGTGACCGGGGTCCCCATGGACCTCAAGGTCCACCCGGAGTTGTTGGGCCCACAGGACCACAAGGTTTGCCTGGGAGTCCCGGAGAGCCTGGGTATGTATGATGCACGCTGAATTTTATCAATGGCGCTCATATCGTTGCATGTAAAATTTAAAATGATTTGACTAGGAGTCCCGGATCGTCAGCTGAAGCTGTACCGAGAAAATTTATTTTAGACGTAATACACTACCCGTAAGGTTGCTCAAAATGTTTTGACAACCCACAACCGCTTCCGTCGTTCTTAAAGCTTATCAAGTAGGAGCGATTCCCGAGTTGCCGACAACCTTATACCCTACTTGAACCCAGGTGAGTCTACCGCAAAACCAAACTGGTTTGCAAATGAGTGTATTCCTCCGGAATTTAGTCCACTCTCTGGCGTACAGAAAGATCACTTGATGCTAAAAGTGTACTGACTCGTTACTTCTCATGAACAGCGACAAGCCGTCAGACAACAACCTAGCCACTCTCTGTCCCTTGTAGATGACACGGAGACGCGGGGGTTCAAGGTCACTTCAGAAAGTTTGGATCCGGATTTTTCTAAGCGGCTTCTGAAACACTGTTTACTTGGAAGTTACTTGGAACAGCAGCCAGTTTATGAAGAGCTATTTTGTTATCCTTTTAAATTCTTTTTGAAAATTCAGCCCACCCGTTTTCGGAATGATACCATGCCTACTTGTAGTATCCAAAAACGAGTGCTTGTCTGCCTCATGAAGGATAAACACCTTGAATGTTAACCTTCGGCCGGTAACTCCGTTAGTTTTCTTAGATCCTACGTTACCAAGACCTCAGCTGGCATGTACATATTCAACAGGAACGGGTCTTTCTGTCAAAAGGAGTTTGTTACAGTGAGTTCAGCGGATGTCGAAGCTCTGTCATTCTTCCAGGGTTGTAAGCGCTGGTCTCAAATTCACGACCCAATCACTGACTAGAAGACTTGAGGCTCGCTACTCAAAGTTCACCTGCGAGTCCATTCCTCAATACATTCTGTTTGGGATCATAGATGTATTTTAAAATCATCTACTATGATGAGAAGAGTACCATACTTGCCGTATCTCTCGAACTGATTATCACTCGGTACACCAGTGACCATGTGATAAAAGCGCAGGGCTGAGACCCATTATTGATACGCACAGAGGAGGGGTTCAAACTGGATGACTTTGTAGCGGACAAGGACCTTATCAGCGTGTTCGGACAAATGAAAGAGCAAAGTAACCAATATAAAATCAGAAAATCCCAGTAAGAAAAGAATAAGTAGTCAATAAGGACTCACGAATGCGCAGATCCAATAGTCCACTACGCCGGTCCAGATGCAGCAACCGGCTGTGGAAGAAATATTCACTCTTAGAAATTTCCCACGGATGATTCACGTGCGAGTGACATATTCCACGATAGGAAATCTATTAACGGCTGAAAAACGTCACGGGGATTCAATGTGAGGTTCAACAGTTCACACAAGCACAGAGATCTAGTCCCACTGGTTCAACAGTCAGCAAACAGTCCAACAGAGCGTAATTACACTCATTCAGCAAGAAGTCATCAAGTCGCCCCGAAAAATTGTTTATTCGTAAAATTAAAACAAACGTCATGATAAAATACAATATGTAGTTTAAGTTCAGGAAAAAAATGGTAAATAAATGTGACAACGGATTACAAACGCTACAACTTTACCAAAACATTTTCGACCATTGCAAGATGACTAACGTTCATCGATGAAGCTTTTCCGGCGATTGTGGACAGTAGAGTGGTCCAGACCGAAAACTCGGACAACTTTTATAAAATTTTTAAACCCTTTTTCTTCCAGAATTTTGCAATGTGCGTTACTGATACGTATCGTTTTCTACATGCCCATCGTAAATGAATACGTGAGTTAGACGAAAGGCTTCGTATTTATAGATCGAAAGGAGCACGTGGTCAACCCGGGCCGATTGGCGTTCGTGGGGAAAAAGGGATTCGTGGTCTGGTCGGTAAACCGGGCGCCCATGGTCCCACCGGGGTGGACGGTGAGATGGGTGATATTGGGAGCCCGGGACCGCAGGGTTCAAAGGGCGATCGCGGAGATCGGGTATGTGAATCTCGAGTTTGTATGAATTTGCTTCCGCTGTATGAGTTTAAATCATTGTGAGGTCACGGGCATCCGCTGTCAACAGTGCATTAGAAAATGGGTGGTTCTGTGATCCGATTTGTATAAGATATCTCGGAGTTGTCTCGCTCATGTCAAATACAGACTGTCTATCAATTGTTCATGGCTGGAAACACCTTCATTCATCATTGATAGCCGCTTTTGCACAAATCTCATCTGCGAACTGCCTAATGTTAAAAGTATTTTCATGATCTCGGCGTGTATGATTAGATGCCTCAGAGTGGAATCCTTCACTAGGAAGCAACCGAATACGGCCTCAAAGCATGGAAGTTTTTCCTTCGTTTGGAAACGCGAATTCGCGCTTTGTTGTTCAAGACCGGGCCCAGTTCATCTCTCCACACAGCGTCACATATCGTCCACGTTCATTTTGCCGAGCAGAAAAGTGGGGACAAAAAGAAAATGCTCGGTCTTCCTGATTAAAAACGATTGGGCAAGAAATGGCTTTCGGGTTGCGGGATTCGTTCACACTCACTAGGACTAGATGTCGTTCACCAGAAAGTTCCTGCGATCGCGTGTTTAGCTCGGGTTTCCGGTCAGCACCTGTTTGTCTTTTCAACACACTCCTAAGAATATTGTTCTCATCAAACACTGCCAGCAACTTTGAATTCTCACCCACTTGGGGCATTGTAGCAACTATTCCGAATGACGCGTCCTTTAGATCGGTCTACTTCAGTTCAGCTGTTATGCCCAACCAGTATTTTCGAATATCTGCTGCGATATTTCGGTTGATGTGGTTATCATGAATAAGCCGCCCTTTCTGTTGCCATCCTCATCTTTCTCACCATAGTTATCATTGTATGGTTCGCTGGCCACTGGGTTTTTGCTGGAGCGCGACGGTCCTCAGGTTTCCTGAGCGGCCAACCGAACTTTCTTTGGGTTCCATGTTGTCTTCTTTCTCCGAGGTTTCTGACCACAGCTTGCACAGCCGCGACTGATTTCCAAAGGATTCAGAATCATAGAAAAGCAGGTAGAGCTCTGGTGAGATGCCGGTGTGATCTAACTTTGCACGACATTCAAATACTTTCCGCTGGCATACGCACACAGACTCTTTTTCTCGAATCCTCAATCGCAGACGAAAGATGCAAATTTTTACCCATTCCGTAATTTTAGACCATCTGTGGGATCAGCGTCAAGCTACGACGATAATTCCAGTACGTCCGGTATGCTCTTGCCGAGCAGTGTTAACACGCTCTCTTCGCATGTCGGATGTCGGGGTTTCAAATCCCAAAACCGCCAAGGAATTTTTTTTCAATGAACTCCAATCAGACAGCAGAAACTCAAGCACAATGACGATCTTGCTCTTTCTGGAGTGGACTAATTAACCTTCAAGAGAGTGATGCGGATGCAAACTTTGCAAAACCACGTACGAACGCTTGTTCCTAATTAATTACTGCCAACTGACTTGGTTGCTGTGTTATCACCAGTCGTTTGCTCGGAATAGAATCACCCTTTTCATTGAAGATGAATGAATCCAGTTAGTATCCAGTACTATCAATAAACACGAGAGCAATGCTAACCACACTTGCCCTCCCCCCGAGCAAAGCGTCTACTCGGTTTTGTTTATGACTGATTCTCTGCTGATGCCGGAGCTAACTGCATCAAGTTTCCGCATGCAACTTTGCTACAAAAAGACCAGTATTGTGCTATGTATGCGAGGGATCGGACTTCATCGAGGATACTGATAGGACAGGCCACTGGGTGAATCCTACTCAGTGCCCTCCCACAGTTCGCGCATTAAACCCAGATTCAACAACATGCTGAAGTCACAGCTTACAGGATTCCTCGAGTGAAAGTTGAAACACCATCGCCGGTTTTGTCTTGTTGAGCGTTTGCACGATTAGAACTGAATTTATACTAACGACTTTGTCAACCGGAATTGTAAGCTTGCCTCACCTAGACCGAGGGTTACACTCATCCCTTCTTTGTTTATCGCTTATGAGAGTTACGCATCGCTTCCACTGTTCCATTTTACTCAAGGGAGAAGAAGGTCTTCCAGGTCCAACAGGAGATATCGGTGCCACCGGGCCTCAGGGAGCTCCTGGAGAGTCTGGTGAACCCGGACCAGCCGGTGTGGCAGGACCAAAAGGAATTGAGGGAAAAGCTGGCCCTCCTGGACCCGAAGGCCCGGTAGGAGTTCAGGTAAGCGAGGATCGAAAACTGGGACCAGTAAATCTCTTTATTTGGCCCATCACTTCCAGTCTTCAAAGTGCGTTGTTAACCTGAAGGTGATCTGAACAGCCGTCCGTAGATTAGCTGAATTCGCGTTAATGTACTTGTGCAAATCAGGTACGGAATTAAAGTGAAGGCTATGGCCTTAAGTCACATTGATTGTTCTCCCACGTTATATGCAACCAACGGAGAAGAAGCACGCTCAGCTGTCCCAATTTCATACATCACTTCCAAAACGGACATAGTAACCGTATTCTCAACAAAGTTTGTTCGCTGTCTGGATTCTTTTTTTAACAAAACAGCTTATCATACTACTCATTAGTAGTTTCGCAATTTTGGGCAGCATAACTTGGCCGTCTGAGTAAAGGGCAAGTAAACACAAACAATGGCTCACCATGAGGGTTTGTGTACAACTATTTGTGTGTGTGCATGTGACTAGTACCATTCGGCCGTATCGTCAAGGTCCAGCACCACTGCGTCCTGGAAAAACTCGAATCGATGTTAGTCGCAGAAAAAAGAGAGTAGGGATCCAACTAGCATTCACGTAGCTGCAGCCGAAAACGTCATGCCTAAGGTGATGTTCCGGCCTTCGTTGATTTGCTACAGTACTTGTGATCAGTACCCCCTGACTACAGTTATCGGGAAGGTAAGATTCCTGAATGTAACCTCAGAAGGCCCCAAACCTACTGCTCCACCAAAATCTCAACAGAAAAGCCGGCAAGCATTCAGGCTAGTCAATCATTCAATCAATTCAGCAAAACCTGATAAGTGTTCATGCACGCCACAGAAGCACGACCGAATGTGATCAGCGTTCAGGCTTTTCACAGATGCACGATCGATGTAGATGGGTGTTCACTGACGCCTAACAGACAGCCCGGATCAATGTCAGAAAGTCCCCTTTAAATAGCGTGGGGCCGTCGTAACTTTTGCTCTCGCACTCGCTTGTTCGGGATATAGCTGTTGTGTTCCCTTCTGAGAATCTTTTTTCAGGCACTGTAGCGGGTCAGCAGCAGATAGCACAGACTGACGAATCAGCAGATATAACAACCTTCATAGTAGGAATATATTGGAATGTGTGTAACAGATGAAACTGAACAACACGTTAATGCAAATGCTTCATTCTCTCCATAAAGGATGTTGGCATTGATAAACAATTTTGTCTGCGCAAGTCAAACAAGTACGAGGGAAAAAGGGAGTTGCGTTGGTTTCCAGAATGTTACAAACGACCAAACGTGGGGGATATCAACCCGGCAAGAAGCTTGCATGAAAGGACTTGCAGAATCTCACGAACAAACTACTGGTCTTTCTAGTGGAATGTTGCGAATGATAAACGTTCTTTTGTGACCCCGCTTTTGGTGCCTAGGCGCCATGCCACCCAAAACAAGCACAAGAGCTGTGATAGTGCCAAGTTTCCCAGACATAGACAAGAAGAGTCGAGATGAAGAGGCCGGGTTCGAACCACGGACCTTGCGGTTAGTAGATTCGCGCTCTAACCACTGAACTATCTCGAGCTCATGGAATATTTTGGGAGTCTGTAGTCAATAGATCATCCGTAATATCCTAAGACTGGATTCTGAGGGACAATGGAACGTCATATCAATCCAAACGTTGAGTGACTCACCACCGCTTTCGCTACTATCATGGGCTTGTAAGTTAGGCCTAGCCCAGGATTTTCACCAGGCTTACTCCTTAATTGACTACTCATTTGTTGTTTTTGCATGTATACAAGAGATGGAACCAAAACGCAGAATGTCTAAAGCTGGGCCCTTTTATCTTGTATACTGGCTCTCTCTCTGAGCAACCGAGGATTTAAGTGTAATTAAGTAAAAATCATCTTGTTTGATGAGATAACGGAGTCAACTTATGGGTGGCCGAATAACTGCTTTGAGCCTCGTAAAAAACCACTTCCCTACAACCTCCCACACAAGCTCTAGCGCTCTCTTACCGCGGTTCACCTGGGCATTACCCCCCCCCACCCCCACCCCAGGAATGGCAAAAATGTCTCTATTGAATGCCACTCTCCCTGCTGAAAACATCTCATTTAGGTATCCAATATGGTCCAGTTCGAAATATACGTCTGAGCAGTGTCCGCATCAGATTATAATATAATTGAGCTCAATAGCGGAGCAACTAGTCAAAAGTCTAGAGTAGGTCACGTGGTTAGGCTCCCTCTGTTTGACCTTGACAATTGCTAGTCAAGTGAACTGACAGCTTGATTGCATACAGCTCAGATTGATATAACATGCGTATTTGGTAGGTTAATCCTTAACTCGGAAGTCAAACGTGGAACCAGGTATATCAAATATGCTAACTCTTCCGAGGAGACGATATATCACCTAGAATCGTTTATGAATAGAATCCAGCAAGAGTGGTGTATGTTTAACCTTGGTCCGATTCCCAATCTGAAATAAAGTTGTGGACTCGATAGTCTATGACCGATTTCCGGATCCATGCGTGCGAGGCATGTCCGAACTTCTTCACACGGTGGCTAGCCACTTGTTACTATTTATCGATTTCTGCATTCTCAAACAGGATCTGTGGAACCTTCTTTACACCTGATTGCCTAACTTGTTAGAAGGAGAGTGTACTTTCGGTGCCAACGCGATCCGTTATTTTTGTCCCGTAGGTCATCTCACGTCTAAGCTTTTCGTTTTTTCTGCGTCATCTACCCGTCTGCTCTAAACAAGGGTTCTCCTGGGCCAAATGGACCACGAGGGGAGCCTGGGACCAAGGGTTTGCCTGGTCCGGACGGGCATCCTGGTGAAGTGGGTCCTCCCGGTATCTCAGGTTCTCCTGGAAAGGTTGGTAATCCAGGTCCAAGTGGAACCCCTGGTGTCAAAGGTCCAAAAGGAGAACCGGGTCTCCTTGGGTCACGCGGTTTGCAAGGAATACCTGGAAAGCCTGGACCGGATGGCCCTCAAGGACCTAAAGGTACCCGAGGCAGACCTGGTCGTCAAGGTCGACCTGGACCTGCCGGTCCGCCTGGTATTGCCGGTCATCCCGGGCTGCAAGTAAGTTATGTTTGTAGCCACCAATACCTACCGGATTTTTTGCGTACGTACAAGCAGTTTATAAACGAGCCAGTTTAATATCCCTAAGGAATCGACCAATAGTGTTGTTCCAGCTGAAAACCTGTTATCCATGTCTGCAGCTGGACATGTCATCCGCAGAATATGGCAGTGCCATATTCTTTTGATTTCTTCCACTTGCCTTTATGTTTTCAAAGGGTACACCCGGCCCTCAAGGCCCTCTGGGTCCTCCCGGTGATGTTGGCCCTCAAGGAAGCGCTGGTCTCCCGGGAAGAGACGGTGGTCGAGGAATCATGGGTCCAGATGGTGCAGTAGGAGAGGATGGACCTCCGGGACCACCGGGTCCGGCCGGTACACCCGGGCCACAAGGTCCAGTAGGATCCGCTGGTGAAACTGGACACGTCGGTGATCCAGGAAGCCGTGGCCCTCCCGGTCCTTTCGGACCCGATGGGGAACCTGGGCTTCCTGGACCTCCAGGCCCAGAGGGACCTGTGGGACCAAGTGGGCCGCCCGGTGAACAGGTAAGTGCTGCTTACTCCTAGGTGCCAGATTTCGCTGAGCGCTTCAGTGTTTTTAATCTTAGCACCAAAAAAACGTTACGATTGTCAGTCAAACCGCTGACTAGCAGTTGAGTTTTCCAAAGAATCCTATTTAGAGTTCAGTCCACAGATCACTGTAAAACACTTGAGCTTGCGCTTTATAGGAACAACCGCTATTGTTGGTTACTATCCCCTCAACGTTTATCTTCGACCACTTTACCAGAGTTTGGTTTCCATCCTTTCAACGTTTATCTTTGACCACTTTACCAGAGTTTGGTTA